TCTCGCGGCAGCTCTCGGGTTTGTTAATTCATTCCGCTAACGAGCCTCGCAGGCTCCCTACTGCCGAGTCGTCCGTGGAAGTCGCCGCGCTGGAGCCGGCTGTGCTGCCCTGAGCGCCGCTTCGGCCCTCGGCCGGCGTCGTCCCTCGGGGCTCTGCCTCCGGGCCGCTGCGGTTTCCCTCGGGAAGGGTCCCCAGGGGAGGTCGCCGCTGCTCGGCGCGCGGAATCAGCTCCCGCGGGCCTCGCCCGGCCCGGGCTCAGCCTCGGAGGCGTGTTGGGGTGTAGGAATTGGGACGCACCTTGGGGGTTCACTGGGACTCCAGGCGGGGGAGTTGGGAGGACTCCTGAGCCGTTTACTAAGTACACGGCCAGGAAACCGAGGCCCAGGACGGGAAAGGGCTTTGCTGTCAGACACACAGCAAATGAGCAGCACAGGCCTGACTCCCAGCCCAGGGAGTGAGAGGAAAACGCCCCCAAGGGGATGAAAAGCTGGGAAAGCAGGGAGAGATTCCCTTCTGGGGTAGGGCACTGGGACTTTCTGCCTTGATGAACCCTAGAACAAGAGATTACAGCCCTCTGCTTTACTCCCTCAGCGCTGATTTCTTTATCTCTCTCCCCCCAAAATGTAAAATGTTTATTAAAGGAATTTATTAAAGAACACTTTGAGTTTCCTCTTCCTTTTTAAAAAAATTGTGGTAACATATACATAACATAAAATTGACCATTTTAACCATTTTTAAGTGTATAGGTAAGTGGCATTCAATACATTCACTTTGTGCAACCATTACCACCATCTACCTTCAGAATTTTTTCATCGTCTAAACTGGAGTTTCTTACTTTTTTTTTAGAATATATCTTTATTGATTTCAGAGAAAGGAAGGGAGAGGGAGAGAGACAGAAATACCAATGATGAGAGAGTCATCATTGATTGGCTACCTCAATCAATTGGGATTGAGCCCGCAACCCGGGCATGTGCCCTGACCTGGAATCAAACCATGACCTCTTGGATCCTAGGGCGATGCTCAACTGCTGAGCCATGCCTGGCTAGGCGATTTCCTTACTTTTAATTGTACAGCTGAATTGAATCTTATGGATGATTCTTGAAAACAAATTCCTCCCAAATTAACCAAGGATTCTCCCCACATACAGGGGAGGGGGACGTGACCCTCAGAAAAGAAGTACAGGCCACAGGCAACCCTTTGGGGCCTATCCTTGGCCCTGTCCTGAGCCCAAACACAAGCCTGTCTTGTGGCCCAGGGCAGCTCAGAGAAGTTAGGTTGGCTCAGGTCTTTTCCAGTCTCAGGGTTGAGGGCGAGAAGGCTGCAGCCAGTCCCAGCCCACATCTCACTCACTCTCCCGATGTTCAGGGTCAGGCAGCAATGCAGTTGGAGGTCAAGCCAGGCCTCTCAACTGGGCCATTTCCTGGGCGTAGAGTATCTAGAACAGGGGCAGGACACCACCAGGAAACCTCTCCTTCCTTCTCAGAAAAGCCCACTCATTTCTGCCTCTGGCCTCAGGCTAAGCACTCCTCTATCCGTTATCTCATGTCTGGCCTTCTAAGGGCAGTTGGAGGCCAATAGGGAAGGAAATGGGAGGAAGTGGCCGAGTCAAAATTTGAAAACAGGGCATGATGTTTCTCAATGCAGGCAGCACTGGTATTCTCACTGAGATGATTCATCATGGGGCAGGACTGCCCATGTGTTTCAGATGTTTGATATCCCTTGCCCTGCCCACTGAATCTGAAAAGTATCCCCCAGTCATTGTGACAGCCAAAAGCATCCCATGTAGTATCCTAGGTATCAGGAGAAAGGAGACCTGGGTCAGCTTACTCCTCTCATGGGGAGGAATTTTTGTGATGAGTTTAGCTGCCATGGCACTCAGTAGGCCTCAATAAATGTGCTTCCCTTTCTTCTGGAAGGGGGTAGTTCTTGGCAGGGAGATGTGAAACCCTTGGTTCTTGATGCTCACTGTGAGGCAGGGCACTTGCCCATGTCTCAGTTGGGACCTTGAGCAAGTCATTTACTCTTCTATAGCCTCTCACCCCCACCCCAAGCTCTTGGAGCAATATATAGGCTCTAAAATTTGAAGTTTGCTGTTGAAAAATTTGCAGACCTGAGGATACACTGTGTGAAGCCACAAGGGGGCAGCAATGGGCCATTAATGGCCTTGTCCTACCCACAGGAGCAGGAAAGGGAAACAAGTGGCTTCTACCCCCAAGAGGATCTGCCCACCAATCATCCAGCATTATGGTGCTGCCTAACGGACTTCATGTCCTGACAAGTGATTTTGGAAAGACAGTCCTGGTTGTTTATCCCTAGACAGATGACTGCTCCCTCAGAGCCTCAGTTTCCTCACATGTAAAATGGAAATAATGACATGAATCACATAGGCTCCCTCCTTCACAGGGCTTGTGGGGGGATCCATGAGGTACCTGGGTGGAGGGAGGAGTGAATTTACAAACTGTAGAGTGCAGTAGATTTGTGAGGTTATGCTGGAACGCTTAACCTCCAAAGGATACTTGGATAGCCTGTGATGTCCATCCGTCCTCACAGCCCCACTGTGTCTCTCTTTTCATCCTAATGGCTTCCCTGGTGACCCGGATGATTGGCTGAGTGGTGGGCCTACCACTTATTGCTAGCAACTGAGAGAGAGAGATGAGGACTTGACACATTCCTCTTCCTTAGCAGGTGTGTGGCTGGGCCTCTTCTGCTTAGTGAGGAGGCCACTTAGTGGGGGCCAGTGGGACTACGCAAACCATGGCCCTACTTAGGCCTCAGTCCTGGAGGGAGAAGGTCTGAGATGCCATCACTGCCGGTCCCTTCTTGTCTGTACCACTTGAGTGTACTTGGTTTTGTCATCTGTGAAATGGGCATATTTGCTGGGTCCCTCTCTCAGCGTTGTTATAAGAACCAGCTGGAATGAGTGATATAGAAATGCTTTGCAAAACTAGCCCTTGGTTGGTCTTGGAGTGGGGAAGAGAGGGAGAGAACTCAGGATCATGGGAGCTGCCAGGGGCCTGCCCTGCCTTGGGTTCTTGTATTCCATGCAGTTGGTCCTCATTAACAATAGTCAGAGTGCAGGCATCACTGTCCCATTTTACAGATGAGGTGGCAGGTTGAATTTTCTAATAGGGCTGCAACAAGATCTACCCCACATTTTCTCCTTAAAATATGACACTTAAAGTTGACACTTTTCCCTTGAAAACTTTACCACTGATGGTGGCAGGAAGTGACTCCATATGACTTCTGAGAGTTGGCCATAAAAGGTGACACAGCTTTCACCTGGTTCACCATGGAACATTCACTCTTGGAATCCAGCATGAGGAGCCCAGACCACATGGAGAGGCCAGGGGCAGGTGTTCTGGCCATCTGACCTCCCAGCTGACAGTGAGCCTCAACCGCCAGGTGTGGGAGAGCTTGAGCCACAACCGCCCAGCTGAGCCTATTAACTTCAGAACTGTAAGAGAGATATATAAAGGATCATTGCTTCAAGGCAACAAGTTTTGGGGTGATTTTCTGTGTAGCAGTCACTGGTTACTGGCTCAGTGATATGACTGTCCAGGAGGCTTAGCTGGTACGTGGCAGGACTAGGCCTTGTATCTGTGTCTTCCAAACTCCAAACCCCATCTTTGCCCTGACCCTGAACCACTTCCTCTGGTTTCTGGGGTGGCTCTGACGCAGAGAGAGTCCCCTGTCCCTCCTCATTTTGAAATGGCCAGGCTGAAACCTCAGCCAGAGGTGCCCCAGAGGCAGTCTGCAAGGACAGGCACAACCAGACACAAATTCATGGTTTATTACACACAGCAATATCCATCTACACAGAGAGGGGAGGCAAGTAGCTGGGCCAGAGTTGGTGGCTGGGGACCTTTGTCAGAGGTGGGGAACCTTTCCTTAGAGCGCCGATGCTCAGGTCCCAGGCCCCCTGCTTGGGCCGGCTGGGAACAACACGAAGGTTCTCTTCATCTACGCAGTTCACCCGGAGGACCACTTTTGGCTAGATCACGAGAGTTGTCCTGGGTGGGAGATCAGGGCCAATGAGACCCAAACTCTGAGCTGGAGGCCCATTTCCTCAGGCTAGCAAAGTCTCATCACATCCCTGCTCTGGGGGTGGGGGGAGACAGAGAGGAAGTAGCGGCCACTCCAGCATGGGCCTTGCCATCCTCCACACTCGGGGACCATGGGGCTCTCTGCAGTTGGGTCCATGTGGTGGTGATCACAGTGCTTGGCCTGTACTCCTGGCCAGAGGACATGTGTTCTCATACAGGCTGGCTTCCTGAGGCCTAATGAACTTCGTGAGAGCTAGACCAGCTTGGGGTGCTTTCTACAGCTCCCAGTACCCAGCTGCAAGTGCTGGGTGGGAGTCTTGTCCTGTCCTGGTGAACCTAGGGTCCAGGCGGGCCTGAGAGGGTAGGCAGCTGGCTCTGGCTGAAGAAGCCAGGAGCAGCTGCAGTGGCTGTCCATGCCCCAGGTGGCCCCCCAGGGGCTCTGGAGCTTCAGGGAGCAGGCTCTTGTAGGGCAGCCGGGCAGCCAGGGTCTCTCTGCTAATCAGGTGACTGAAGGCCCAACCCGGCATCCTTGCAGCCTCATCTGAGCCAGGCACCTCACCTTCGTCTCCTTCCCAGGAGAGTCAAGTTCTGTGGTTGCCCCTCAAGTACACAGTTCCCTGATTGGCCTGTCCACGTTCCTGCCAGCTTCACATGCTGATCGTTTGGGGCTGGGCTGGGCACATGCTCAAAGGTTAAAGGCCACAGGCGGTGCATCCCGTGAAAAAAGATCAATATATTAGTTTTGTTTTTACAAAAATTAAAAATGTCCACATGGATCTGTACAGGTTGTGAGCTGGGTATTTGAGGATCACTGGAAAAGGAGAGAAAGACCGAAGGTGAGGAGGGACCACGAGGCCCCTGGGGCGCCCCTTCCCTGGTTTGGACTTCATCCATCCTGCACATTTCCTCAGAAACAGGCAGGCCCCCATCCCCTAGACCCAGGATCCTGGCTTCCACCCCCTCCCAGGGGGGCAGTTTGGATCAAGTCCCAGGGGGTGCTGATGGCTTTGCACTGGCTGGGCCAGGTGCTGAGACCTATGAAACCAACAAGGTGGGCTGTGCAGAATCACACAGGATTATGGCCCCAAGCCTCAGGCCACAAGAAGGGAGTCAAAACTAGGCTTGTGACAGGGAAACCTGGCTATTCAGCCACAGTGTAGAGTGGCAGATACCCACCCCCAGGCCCCTCTTCCCCCCAACTCCTCCCTGCCTGTCTTGGAGACTTCCCTGCAAGGTACCTTATGCCAGCAGCCAGGCACGGGCAGCCCATCAGTGCCCTGGAAAGGAAGAAGGCTTCAGTGAGGGGGGCAGGGGCTGGTCAGTTCTCTACCCTGGCATACTCCTGCCCAGGCTGTGCTGATGTACAGCCCAGGGAGCTGCCATGTGAGGCTGTTGGACCCCATTGAAACATGACCCAAATGCCTGCCCTGTCCACCCAGGCAACCCAGTCATGGGACAGACCACTCCTCACTGCTCTTGTCCTCAGTGCGCCCCCATGGGGCTTTGTTGGGACACCTGTGCAGTGGGCAGAACCAGGACACCGGAGTACTGGGCTCATGCTGGACATCAACTGATTAGGGGGAGGACCCGGCCTAGTTCTGCTGAGGGGCTGCATGGCTTCCTTCCTAGTGGCCACGACAGTGGCTCTAGACCCACACCCTGGGGGCCTGAGAGTTTTCAGGAACTGAAGAATGTGTGGACAATTCAGGAAGTGGGATCCCCCGATGTGTGGCCTATCCTGGACTCTGTGTCTGGATCTGAGCTACAGGGGTCAGGAGGAGGCCAGTAGGGTGGAACCAGGGCAGGAGGCTGTCTGGAGGCATCAGCCATTCTGCTCAGCAATCAGACACAAGCAGGGGGTTGGTGGGGGGATCCTCAGGCAGCCTGGAAGATGCAGGACTGAAGAGGAACAAAAGCTGACTCTATAATCCCTGGGGGACCCTAGGGCAAAAACACTTCACCCTGTCGTGCATCCAGCAGGGGTACAAGCTGGGGCCTGAGGGTGGTGGGGAGGAGGCAGGCAGGATGGGGGAAGGGGGGGCAGATGCCAGCACAGCACAGCACAGAGCAGCACAGCACAGCACAGCACGCAGCAGGCCAGACTGAGTACCACTGGGCAGGGCTTGCTGCCCCTCACCAGGCCCCTGGAGCCCGGTGCCCCTCGCTTTCCTCCGCATTTAGGATTCTCCTGTGTCAAAGACAAAGGCTTCATGACTTGGAGGGAAGTCTTGGCCCAGGGGCAAGATCTGTCGGGCCACCTGTCCCCTGCTGTCCTTGGCACTTTTTGCATGTGCTCACTGCTCAGATTTTCATGTCTTTTTCTCATTGCCTCTTCAAAACCATCAGAAGGTGAGATTAGCACCCCCACTGTATGGACAAGGAGACTGAGGAACAGGGGGCTAAGTCACTCACTCAAGGTCAGAGGTGGGCCTTTGGGGGTCCCTGGCCCTGACTTCCCTTTGGAAGGTGGCCACACACATGGCTGGAGGTCCCTCTCCCCATACTCCTGGCAGGGGTGTCCAGGAATGAATATCTGGTCAGGTTTAGTATGAAAACCCAGCTGTTTTGTTTTCCCTGTCTTTTCTGAGCTCCACTGAAATAGTTTGACATGTAACCTCCATTGCCTTCTAGATAAGGGAACTGAATTTTGGTTATTTCAGGCACTGGGTCAGGTGGGCCATTAGGGGCTGTGGTGACAGAGCAGGAAAGAAGGCTGTGGCGGCAGGGAAGGGAGGGGTCTGGGGAACTTGGGGACAGCATTGGTCCATCCAGAGCAGAAGAAGCCTCCTCCCAGATGGAACAGACGCCCAGAGACATAAGGGTGGTCCCACCGTCCTTTATGAACAAGGAAGCAGAGTAAAGAGGGGCAGTGACCCCAGGAAGCAGACTCTGCCCCTGGCTGGCTCTCCCTCTCTATAGAGCAAGTGGGTCTTCCAAGCTGCACCCATGGTGGGGTCAAGACTAGAGCAAGAGGACCCTCTGTGATGGGTGTGATAGTGATGGTGGCCTTGGCCGTGTAGGCAACCCAGGCAGGGCTAGCGTGGCCTCTGGGACCTGCAGCTGAGCTCTGAGGACAGGGAAGGTGCTGGCAGTAGGCGGCAAAGACGTTGGCTGGGTGTCCCCTCCTGTTCTGACACGTACCACAGGGCAGGGCTGGTCCAGGCCTGGGGGTCCCGGCTCACCCTTCTGGCCCTTCATTCCTTTCCGGCCGGGGATGCCTCGCTCCCCCTGCACAAGAAGAAAGATGGGGTGTCACCATGGCTGCCATGCCCAGGATGTCTCCAGCACCTCTGAGAGGTGGGCCTGGGGCTGGCAGCCACTCTGCCCTGCGACCCCCATCCCAGCCTCCATCTGCCCACCCCGCCGCCTCTCTCTGCCTGTTTCTTGCCTCCCACCTCTTCCCTCCTCTTCACCGCCTCCCTCCTTCTGTTCTCTTGTCCCATCTCCTCTCCAGCTGCCTCCACTTTCTCTCGGCCTATCCCACCTTCTCTCCACGCTCGCTCCGGTCGCCTTTCTCTCCTCGGGGTCCAGGGAAACCCTGACAAAGGGATTAAAGGTTAAACCTGAAAATGAGGTTTGAGGTTTGCTCCCCTTATCTGCCCATCTCTACCCTCTTCCTCCATATTTGTGGTACAAGCTGGCCCAGCCCCAACTCCTAGGTGACATATGCTGGGTACAGGCTGATTTAGGGAAATGCACGCCTTAGGACTCCAGCACTGCTTCCTCTGAAGTAGAACACTGTTGGGTCGGTGGATGGAAGCCCCAGGCAGAATCTCTGGCAAAGGGCCTTCCCTTATGTCATAGTCTGATGCAGCTGGCACGGTCCCAGACTTGGCTGAGGACAGAGACCCAAGAAACATAGAAGTTTATGTTACCATCTTTGGCAGACCAAAAATGATGACCTCTGTTCTCTGGCCTTGGTTCAAACTCTTGTATATCCCATCCATCTATCCATCCATTTGTCTATCTGTCTATCCATCGAATCAACATTTCTAAACATCTAGTAGGAACTGGGCTGTGGCCTGGATACTGGGCACAGAGAAACAGATTTGATGTGTTTCCTCTTGAATTTATTATGTGGTTTATTTTCTATATCTTATGATGTTTTGACATCTTAAGAATCTTGCTGAGTGGGGAGAGGCTGTCCCTCCCAGAACTAGCCAGTTCTTAAGAGATGGCAAAGGGCTAGCCTGGGATGCAAACCAGCCAATCCCCCAGCCACCCCCTTTATCTACCTCTCACACACCAGAACAATATTTCCCCTGTCTGAAATTGTCCCACGGCCAGATAGCAGGCAACTAGAGGCCACCCTTATAGCTGAAGCCTGCTGGAATTATTCAAACTGGCCAACCCTAATCTATTTCCCCTGCTCTGCCTTGCCTTTCATGCAGAAAATCCAATAAAAGCTCTGACCTAGGCTTTCTCTGCTCCTTTCTGCCTCCAGACCAAACCTGGTGCTTCTCCATGTGACCCTTCATGCCCTTCTCTTGGGAAATATAAGTAATAAATTCTTTGAAAGGCATTGACCTCTCTGTGTCATCACTCAGTCACCTCCATAAATTAAAACCCTATGGGTACAAATGTGACATTTATTTCACAGTCTAACGTGGCAGGCAGTGGCGTGCAGAAGATGATGGTCAGTTCTCAGTGACAAAGGAGTGAACCAATGTCATGGGGTCCCAGGGACAGGGGCTGTTCTGTCCAGGTGGAAGATCAGGGAAGGCTTCTGAGCAGACTCCCCATTTCAGCTGGGCCTGGAGGATTGGGTGCCCGCAGTTTGCCAGATAGGACAGGTGGGTGTGGTTTTGTGATGGCACTCTAAGCTCCAGGCCTCCCAGGAGGCAGCTGTGGCCATGGCGTCTTTAGCTCTGCCCTGACTACTTCCCTGGGTCCAGACGTCATCTTCTCCTGACCTTTCTCAATGATGGAACATGGCCTCCCCCAGTCAGAAACTCAGGTTAGAGTTCTTCCTTTTCCTTGTTTGCAGTTGCTCTTCAATGTGACATTTCCTCCTTAAAGTCTAGGGTGGATACCATAAGCCCTGCAGCCTTGTATCTGGTTACCATTTCCCTTCCAAGAGGTACTTTATTTTCCTGGGACACCCCCTCCTTTCTCACACTTCATTGATTTCACCCCCAGCTCCTGGATGGAGCATGTGATCAGGCCTGGCCAACTGGGGCACTGCATTTCTCTCACCACGTGATATTTCAGCATTGACCCAACTGGGGCCAATGAGAGCTGATGAGACTTTTTCTAAGAGTAGAGAGTGAGACAAATAGTCTTTCTCCAGAATTTGGGCTGGAGAGATGCAGGCCTGGAGCTATTGGCTCTATCTCATCACGTGGAACTGGAATGACGCCTCTACAGAGGAATCAGAGACAAGAGGGGGTGAGAGGCTGGGTTGTGTTGTTACACTTGAGCCCTAGATCCATGTGCTGTGCCTTTGGATTTTTCAGTTATGAATCAGTTTAAGTCAGTTTAAGTTGTGTTTTCTGTCTCTTGCAACCAACAGATACTTGATCCAGTTAACAAAGGGCTAATATTTCCCCTCCTCTCCTTCCCACAATACTTCCTTAGCTGAAGCCTCATCATTTCTCATTAGGATATTGCAACAGGCTCCTTACTGCTCTTCCCACTTCCCTCCTCCAATGCATCATCCATCCATTATCTATTCATCCATCCATCCATCCATCCATCCATCCATCCATCCATCCATCCATCCATACGTGAAGCACCTATTCTGGGCTGTGCATTGGACTTGGCCCTGGGGACGTAGGGGAAACCAGGCAGTTGTAGTCCCAGCCCTGGGAAAGGGAGTTACATGACAGCCCCCCAAAACAGGTTACTGTATGTCCAGCAAGAGGGCAGAAGCTACACACAGGAGGGGCCTGATCACAGTGAATGGTGAGATACTTACATCTAGTCCTGGCTCTCCGGGTCTGCCCTGAGGAGAGAAGAGAAGGTGTGAGGAAGCTGGGAAAGGGTACTGGGAGCATAGCTGCTGGGAATTTCAGTCCTGTAAGTTGTCCACAAGCCTGAACTCTGGCCCTGAAGTGCAGGGGTTGAACCCCCAAGGCTGAGTGACACTACAGATGTGCAGCCATAGTTGGGGGGCCATTAAAGAAAGGTGGTTACCTTCTCTCCTTTGGTTCCTGGCAGTCCAATAAGGCCTAGTGGGCCAACTGGCCCCTGGATGAAAAAGGAATGAATTAAGATGCATGATCGTTACAGGAATTAGCACCTTTAAGGACAAACAAGGCTCGTGACACTCACAGGCAGGCCGCTGGGGCCTCTCTCCCCTGACTCGCCCTTCTCTCCCTTTGCTCCATCCAAGCCCTGGAAGTGAAGGAGGGACACCAGTCAGGGGAAAGGGGTCAGACAGATGGAAGGACAGGAAATCTTGGGGCCTGTGGGGGCCTAGGTACACGGGACAGAGGGACAGACTCCAGGCTCTGACAGGTCTGGCCCGGCTTCCTTGTGCAAATAATCAGAATGAGCTTCGGGTGTGAGCATTTTACCTTTTCCTGTGCATGGGCTCCCTCAGTACTCATGGTAGGTGGCTGTGGTCACACTGATTTCACAGATAAAGAAAGAGAGGCACAGAGGGGGCAGGGATGGGCCCAGCTGCACTGCAAGTAGCAGGACTTGCCAACTGAGTTTCTGAGCTCTAGCCTTGGATCCGCCCCTGACAGCATCTGCCTCTTCTAAACACGATTTGGGGAAGCCTTGGGACAAAGAGAACCAGAAGCAGCACATCTAGTCAGCCACATCCTCGGCCCACTCAGCTCTGGGAGTCCATGACTCCGAGTCCCCAATTTGGCCTCTGAGCTGCGGATGCAGAGTAGTGCGCTCCCTCAGGGTAGGGCAGGCAGTGTGGCCAGCTGGCCTCCCCATCTGCGTGGCTCCCAGGGCAGGGCACACGGGCAGGCCGCACTCATGGCTTTAATTTAAGAGCCGAGTTCACAACATTATGTAATACACACCAAACCCAAGACTTCGTGTCAAGGCTGTGGGCAGTTGAGAGACAGATGTGCATGTCGGGGGCATAAGGAGATGGGGTAATGAAGGGAGAGGTGCAGAGAAAGGGGAGACACACAGCGAGGAGGGAAAAGTGGACTGGGGGCCGGGTAGCAGGAGAAGGGGAAAGAACAGAGCCCCAAGTGTGGGCATGAAGGGGCACCAGTCCTAGGGGACTCAGAATATTCAGGCCCTAGGAATGTGCAGGGCTGGTCTGAGGCCAAGCACGGGGCCCTTGCTTGGCCCATTAGCAAGGCTTTCTGGAACTGTCCAGGCTGTGGGTCTGTAGCAAGTAGGAGGGTTTTCATCCACACCCTAGAACTCACCTTGGGACCCTGGATTCCCTGAAGGCCCTGGAGGAGGAGGAGAGAGCAGATCAGGACCAGGGCCCTCTCGTAGTGGTCACGAAGGCTTGCAGGCCACTCACTGGCCCCTGTGGCCTTGACTTCTGGGGCTTCCCAAGCCCAGATCCTGGCTCTGCCCTCCTTGCCTGACATGTCCCCTCCCCGCCAGGGAATTCTGTCCTTCCCCTGTCACAGCTCCTGGGCCTGGGACCACCACCCTTTTCGTATCCCAGCTGCTTCAAGCCAAACATTCTTACCATGGGGCCTGGGGGGCCAGGAGGGCCAGGGGGCCCTGGCTCCACTATGATCTGGGCCTAAGAAAGGGTCAGAAGTGGACTAGTTACAAATTGCCTTGTCATTCCCTCACCCACCCACACTTGAGCTCATGGGATGCTGCAGGCTCAAGCACTCCCTGGGCACCAGGCCCTAAGCCATTGCTTCTCGCCCCCACCATCTGGTGGGGGGCCCAGAGCTGGCCTTTGTGTTCTCAGATGGGCCTTAGGTGGGGGGTACAACCCGAGGTTCCCCCTCCCCTGCTACCCTGTGTTTGGTCAGGCCAGGTGCCCCTGCTATGCCAAGACTTGGGGTCCCAGCTGGCCTAGGCTGGGCATTGCGGGGAGACCCTGGTCCTCAGCAGTCCCTCTTACCAGGCTCTCTGGTAGGTTGTCAGATGCTGGCTCTCCCTTCTCCCCCTTGGGGCCGTGGGCACCCTGTAGGACAGGATGGCCTTGAGCCCTTTCTGTCCATCACCAGATCACCACCCATGGTGATCAGTACCTTCCCTTACCTCTCCCATAAGGCTTCCGGCAGCAGAGACTTGTCAGGTTGGCCTCTGCTTCTTAAAATAGTTTTCCCCAGAGCCAGGCCAGTTGAGCACTGACCCATGACCCAGGAGATCCCGGTTCGATTTCCGGTCAGGGTGAATGCCCAGGGTTTCAGGCTCAATCCCCAGTTGGGGGCATGCTGGAGGCAGCCAATCAATGACTTTCTCGTCATTTATGTTTCTGTCTCTCTCTCTCTCCCTCTCCCTTCCTCTCTCTGAAGTCAATTAAGATATATTAAAAAAAAAGTTTTCCCTAGACCAGTGGATATTTAGAAAGCATAGTGACAGCAGTACACATTGTAGTTTTCCTGTGGGGCAGGAGGGTGACCAGGGGCTCTGAAGCACCTGGGCTCAACCCCAGCATTACCTCTCTAGCTGAGTGAGCCTTACAGATGGACAATGGACATGAAGCGGTGGCAGCTGGTAGCTGCTTAACCTGTCAGCTCTTCCAACCCATCCATGCCAAGACCAATGATCAAAATGACAATGATGGTGACAACAGGTATTTATTGCATGCCAGCCACCATTCTCAGACCTGTTTGTGTCCCCTCACAGGAGTGGGAAATTATCACCCCCATTTTAGAGGTGGGGAAGCCAAGGCCCAGAGGGGTTGCGTTGCTTGTGCAGGGTTCTAGTCAGTAAGAAATGAAGCAGGATGCAAACTCAGGCAGCCAGAGCTGAGGTCTAACCACAGCCAACTCACTTTCACCGGGCAGGGCCTCCTTATTTCACTTTTACAGAGGCCTCGGGAGATAGGCAGTAGGTCCTTCTACCAGGGGAGGAAATGGGGCTCAGGGAGTCTGAGCAGTATGGGCTGGGAGTCAGAGCTTCCTTTCAAAGGCCCTGTGGGCCTGGGCTGGACTGAGACTTTAGGGCCCCAGCCGCCAGCAGGCACACATTCACTTTGGGACCCACATGGGCCAAGTAGGGTGGGACCCCACACAGCCACCTACCGGGAGGCCAGACAGGCCCATTTCGCCTGCTTCCCCTTTGGGTCCAGTTGGCCCAGCCTCTCCTGGGTCTCCTTTTGGTCCTTTGGGACCCTGAAAGCCACACAAACAAGGGGTTAGTGGAGTTCAGCAGGCATTCTCCCTTCTCCCACTCTCACAGGTCCCCAGAGCTTTTTCAGGCCAGGCCAGTCCCCCACTTCCACATTGTGGGGCCCCTGCCTCCAGCCCAGGTGGCAAATGCATTGAGGGGCCTGGACAGAGACAGGGCTGGGGCACCCCAACAACCTGCCTCACTGCACACAGGAGTGCAGGGTGGGGTGGGGGTGGAGGGAGTGGAGCAGGTGGGACCCAGTAGCCATGAGGGGGCACTAACCCTGTGCTCACCTCTCAGGAGCCAGTGATGGGAGCTCCCAACCCCTACAACCAACCAGCCATCTACACAGTCACCTTCCAGCCACTGCATTCCCTCGCTCAACCAATTGTGTAACATCCACAATGTGCCACACACTAGGGACCCAGCGCTACAGACACACCCACAAATGTCAAGTGACACTTATGGACACTTGGTGTGTATGTAGGACCACACATGTATATACGCACAATAATACTAATAATGACAGTAATGCTATTAGCTAACATTCCAAGACTCTCTCCTCCATGGCACCGGGCACTGCTCTAAGCATTTTCCGTACACAGAGTAATTTAACCTTCTTGGCAGCTGTTACCACCCTCACCTGTGGGTGGGAAGCAGAGGCTGCCAGAAAGCAAGCAGCTTGCCCAAGGCTTAAGGGCAGAATCAAGATTTGCACACAGGTGGCACATTTTGTTTTCCAACTCTGTATACACACACACCCATATGTACACACGTGCTCACATACACACACATACACACACAGCATGACACCTGGCACCAGCATCACCAAGAAAATGAAAGGTTCAGAGACCTTTTCTCCATCAATTCCAGGGGCACCGGGCAATCCGAGCTCACCCTGGAAGGAAATAGACAGCAAGAGGGTAGTTATGGTGTCCCATGGCCCCTGAAAGGGATCTGTGACTGGCTGCCTCCCTGAACCAGTGCGCTGTTCCTGGTTGAGTCCCTGCTGTTAGACCTCCAGGAATTTGCCCACTGGGTGCCCAGCATGGTGCCAGGAGCTGGCCACCTCTACTCCTCCATGCCCTCAGCCCCTACAGGCAGATGTAGCCCAGGGCTATAATCTATAGGCAGGTAGGTTACATTTTGGAAGCTGAGGCTCCGAGGGTTAAATGACTTGATTTAGGCCACACAGCCCAGGTACACTGGTGGAACCAGACCCTGTCTGATTTTACAGGTGGGCAGGGCATAATGATGCATACAGGCCATAGGAACGGCTATGTCATCGATGGGACTTAGTGATGTCATGAGGGGCCAATTTATGGGTTTCGAAGTGTGAATCAAGCTTCCCAGGGCATAGTGTAACTAGGGCTGGGAAGAAGGCATCCTGCTTGGTTAGGAAGTAGCTCCTTCCTCTGAGCCTCCAGAGGCCAGGCTGGGAGACAAGCAGAGAGGGCACAGCAGAGAGGAGAGGGGAGGTGGACTCTGGAGACAACGGGCTTGAGGGGCCATGCAGCTGCATGCATACTGACCTTGGCTCCAGGGATTCCTGGTGGCCCTGGGGGTCCTGGTGGGCCGGGAGGACCCTGTGTGCAAAAGTCAGGCCAGTTAGGCAGGGCCTCCCCCTCACTGCCGGTCCACCTCTTTCACCCTGGGGGTCATGTCCCTGTTTAGCTGGGCTGCAGCAGGGTCAAGGGACCTTGTGCAGCCCGATTCCCACCCAGCCCCATGTCTTGAAGGACTCCTGGAAGAAGACACCAACCATCAGGTAAGATACCGCAGTGTCCACTGCGGTGGAGAGCCCAGAATCCCTCTGCCCTCACAACTTGTTTTCCCAAAGTCTAGATTGCTTCACAACACTGCCCTGCTCAAGATCCTGCAGTTGCTTCCTATTGCCTCTAGAAGCTGGCATTTAATGCCAGCCCAAACTGTATCCCGAACAATGGCTCAGCACTGCCTTCTCTATTTCTGTGACCTCTCTGACCATCAGCTCTGTTGCCTGTTGTCTCCTGGCCCTGGGTCACACAGGTAGGGGATGGCATCTTTAGTCTCTAGGTCTGATTCCACTCCCAAGATACTATCTTTTTTTAAAAAAAATAAAAAAATGTTTTCATTGATTTTTGAGAGAGAGGAAGGGAGAGGGAGAGAGAGATTGAAACATCAATGCATCTACATCCAATGGCTGCCTCCCGCATGCCCCCTGCTGGGGATCGAGCCCACAACCTAGGCATGTGCCCTGACAGAATCAAATCTATGACCTCTTGGTGCATGGGTCGATGCTCAACCATTGAGCCACACCTGCCGGGCAACAAGCTGCTATCTTGACCTAGGCTTCCAGAAAGCTACCTGCTCACCATGGCTCATCATCGCCCCCAAACTCATATCCCCTCCCAAAGGCAGCACCCCATCCAGCCCCTCAGCCCCAAAAGTTCCAGTCTTTGCCCCTCTAACTCCTCTCACCAACCCGCTCCCTTCTTGTAGCAGCTCCATTGAGATGTCCCCAGTCTTACTATCTTCCTTCATTCCATCCACCCTCTTCTAGGCCCACACTCAGCACCTACCTTCCCAGTAACCTGCCTGCCTCCAGATGTCCCCACACCCACTTTTGTTCAACTTCCACACCATTCTTCAATATGAGTTTTTTAGCATTGCCCCTCTGTTCATGAACCGGTATGGCTGCCTGCTGTCCATCCAATGGAGTCATCATTCCAGTCTGGCAGCCAACATTTACTTCCTGCCTCCCTGTACTCCTCCCATGCAGCTCCTAGACAGCCTGGGACACACCATGCTTGTACACGCCCTTGGGCCACGGCACACCACGCCACACCATGCAGGCCTGCGGTGGGCCACAGTTACCATCAGCTTGTACTTCTCTGAGGCCTGTGGGAAATAACTGGGATTGAAGCTCAGGTGGGGTAAGGTGCTGTCCAGTCTGGTTTCTGATGACTGTCCCTCCCTCACCCTAGCTCCCTTCCCTGGCACCCAATCTCTCTTCCACTGGTTATGGGTCCCAAGTTTGCTGGGCAGGGCTCAGAGGTTACATATCTCCTGAGGCTCTGGGGCAGGCTTTGCCACTCTCCTCCACCCTCAACGATCATTAGAAGACCTAGCCCTTTAGTCTGAGTTCCCTGGGAAGGCCCCAGGAAGCCCTGCTGGGACTGGACACCAGGAAATACTCTGCCCCTGCCCCTTTTTGCTTTGGCCTGTCGGGAGCTCGGGGCCCCATGAGCCACATTCATAGCAGCTCTCTCAGTATCATGTTTGGTCTCAACACAACACCTGGTGAAGTTGGGGCCTCTGTACTAAGCTGCCTCTGGACCCTTGTGTACAGAGTATGGGATTAATACACAAAGTGAGTGGTTATCCCCTTAGGAAATGAACAGCAAGGCGCATCTGGTCCACCAGGAACGCTACCTTAAGGGCATCCAAGATCCTGCCATCGTAGTCAATCACCACCGTGTCTCCTTGCTCACCCTTGAGGCCCTGGGGACCCTGAGGCAGGAAGAAGAGGAAGGTTTCAGGGAGGAGCTATGTTGGTGGGTGAAGTGGTAGCTGCCTCTGTATCTCAAAGAACTGAGTAACTGGGGCCATACGCAGTCCTGGGTGCCGGCTCGGCTGTAACCTGCAGGGCCCAGCACGGCTGGCCCTCAGATCTGGTCCCCTTGCATTCACTTTGCACTGGCACCCAGGCTCACTGGTAAAACACTATAGGAGCCAAGCAGGGTGCATCGAGGGAAGGGGGGCCTGGGGCCAACTGAGGAACATACCCCACTTGATCTAGAGGTGGCAGCAATTGGCTTTCATGTGGGAACTGAGGCCACTACGGCCCCATCCCTGAATTCTTGAGGGAAAGTGGAAAGCCTAATTTTGATGTGAAGTTCTTCAGGTTTTTAAATGCTGGCAAACAAATATGCACAAACACAAACACAAAGACATCTAAACCCTCCAAGACACTATGTACGCCTGTGCCTTGGTTTTCCAACCTCTGGTAGAGGCTGCACACACCATGCACTGACATGCCCACTCGTTTCTGGTAGGAGCACACACCCACTCAAGCTTATGGCCACGGGTATGCGTGTCTGCACATGCACGTGTCCACACAGGTGAGCGCATGGCTGCTGGCCCCTCCCCTCCCCTCTGCACCTCCACTCTCCACCTGGGCACCTCTCTGCTTGGAGAAGAGTGAGAGGCCAGGAGCACTTTGGTTCAGGCCTGTGGCCAGCCCCTTGCCTTGGATGGAGAGACCCAGGCCATCCTTGCTGGCTGCCTCCATGGTTGGTTTACATTGAATTCCCACACTTGGTGCTTAATCAAATTCCTGGCCACTTGCAAGCCCTGGCTGTGGGCTTAGGCCTGGTTTCTGGAGGAGGAAACCAGCCTCCAGGAGCATGAGGAGATATGATTGCTCGAGGCCACAGATCAGAGAACAGGATCTGGGGTGTCAGCCTAAAGGTGTGCTGACAGGGATTGGTCACAGAAAGTCTGGGACTTTGGGACCAGCTGGAATCACTGTGCTCCTTCCTGGTGACAGGAATGAACCTTGACATGGGGCTGGGAGAAAGGCCAGGACCCCCAACATGGGTAGTGTTAATGCCATATGTGACAATCAAGGGTCTATGTGTGAATTTGCCAAGAGAAGAGTCTTGAAGGGCAAACACTCCCCTGGGGAGAGAGGAGCAAGAGGGGAGAGGTCGGGCTCTTACTGTCACACATCCATATTTGAACATTTTACCAAAAGTATGTATTATGAAATTAAAAATGAAAAAAAAATCACTAATGAATTATTACAAAAAAAGTCAGTTTTTGGAGCCACACTGCCCCTCTAGGGCCTTTGGGGACAGGGACTTATAAAGGAACAGGCCCCTGGATTCTCTTCTGGGAGCTGGAGGAGAGACGGCTTACCCGCAGCCCTGCTGCTCCATCGGCTCCTCGCTGGCCAGGCTCCCCCTGTGGAGACAACATGGTTGCGGCCAGGTGTGCACAGCCAAGCCAAAGGTCCCTCACCCCTCCAGTCTCCTCTTCCCCAAAGGGCGTGAGGCCTCACGTATGTGACTGCAGAACCCTCCTATGACCCCATGTTGAGTAGAGATAGGCCACCGAGGCCCAAGAGCCCAAGGCTACATGGTGCCTTAGCCTCGGAGCTCACCCAGACCCTCTGCCACCTGCCCCCAGGTCAGCCTCTGATTGCCAGTCCAACAAGACCCGAGACTCAAGACCCAAGGATCCAGGTCCTCCAGGGACTCGCCACTTAAAAAGGCAAATTGGAGGCGAACCACATCTCCTCCTCATGACAGGGGCTGCTCTGAACTGGGCCTGCAAAGCCGAAGCAGCGTGCTGCAAAGTCACCTTTGGCCCTGGGGCACCATCCACGCCGTTCTCTCCCCTCGGCCCCATGCTCCCTGGCTCGCCCTGCAACAGAAATTCCCCATGAGCATGAGCAAGGGCAGGTTAGGGGCTCCCTGGGTCTGCTGGCTTCTACAGTAGTTCCAGGAGAACACTGCTGAGCCCACCTGCAGAGGATGGACCTCAAGGCTCTCCCAGTCCAGGGGACTCAGGACCATAGCCACCTTCTGTGCTGAGTTTTGGTGCATAGTTGGGGAAGCTCAGGGCCTCAAGAGACATTTTGGAGGAAGGCTGGCTAGGATTTGGTGGCTGTCATGAAGGGTTAGGGGAACCAGAATGACTTCACTTCCTGGCCTGGGGACAGGGCAGAGAGTGGGAGCACCTAAGATGGGAAGCAGAGGAATTTAGAGTGTGAGGGAGATAGATAGCCTGTGTGAGGGGCCAGGCCCGTTGATGAGTGGGACCCAGGGCCTTCCTGCTGCCTCTCTGGCCTGTCCTGGCATCAGCTGTGCCCCCACCATGTGAAAGGGTCAGGAGGGGCCTCACCAGGCAGATGGAACCGTGGGTGATGGGAGGCAGGAGGAGCTCAGGGGGAGGTATAGGTACCTACCTTGGGCCCCGGAGGTCCAGGGAACCCTGGCTGGCTTGGTGTCCCATCATCCCCCTGAGGAGAGAGGTAGGAGAAGGTCGCTCTGGGCCAGTGGTTCCTAGACTTGAGTGCGCTCAGCATCACTTAAGACTGCTTGGACAGAGCATGGCCCACCCCCAGTGCCTGTTTTGGTGGGTCTGGGTTAGACCCTGAACATGCTTGTCTAACAGGCCCCCAATAGCGCCAATAGGCTGGTCTTGGGACCACACTTTAAGAACCACTGTCCTGGACCCTGAAGTGGGAAAAATTTTGATGTGCTTGAGGAAAGGAAAGAAGGAGTGAGTGAGTGAGTGAACGAGCAAATGAATGAGATGCTGGCTTCAGAGACATACCCACAGTGAGGACTCGGGTTTGCTGAGGAACAGGGCACTTTTCTTATGGGTAGTCCCCATTTCCACCCCGCGCCCAGTCCCTGCCCTTCTCTCCAGCTCATTCCCACCCCCCCGCCGAGAAGCCCCTTCACAGGCCCCCCCTCACCTTCTTTCCAGGGATGCCGGGCTCACCCTGAGGGTCAGACAGCAGGGGTGCAAGAAAAAAGTCAGAGACATTGAGCTGCCTGCTCCTTTGGAGAAGTGGACCCGTGATCCGGGCCCAGCACAGCCCAGAGACCCCAGCCCCTCAGAGAGGAGCACATGCGTGGTGGGGCTGACAGTCTTGGACTCTACTCCTAACCTGATCCCTTCCAAGCTGAATTACCTTAGGCAAGCCATTGCTCTTAAAAGCTGGGATATGATGCCCCCAGCCTCAGAGGGCCTCAGAGGGTCACTGGGAGATCAGAAGGAATGCATAAAAGGCCCCTGGCTCACAGCTAAGTGGAGCTCCTTTCCCACCCTTTCCTCCTGTGCAGTCTGGGGGCTCCAGCTCCTAGAGGGAGGACCAGAGCCTTCTTTCCCACACAGCAGGCATTGCTCAAGGAGGGAAGAAAGAGCGCTGACATCTGAAAGGACAACTTGGTGTGAAGGTAAGGCTGAAAAGGTTTATCCTGCACCCATTTGACAGGTGAGTAAATTGAGGCCCAGAGAGATGCAGTAACTCGCCCAAGGTCACAGAACTCAGTCTCCTAACCCTGCTGCCTGGGCTTCAATGGGGATGGGGACAGGGATTGAGGAACACTCACCTTGGGCCCTGGGGGTCCCTTTGGGCCCTGGAACAAGAGAAGAGAAGGTATTAAAGGTGAGACTGGAGGTTACTCCTCTCTGTCCTTATCAGCCCCATTTTACAAAGGGCAACACCAAGTCCCAGGGAGGAGGAGACAGGGCTGTTGCTGGAACCGGCCTGTTCCAGGCCTTGTGTCTTGGACAGCTTCTCATCAGATCTCAAACAGTGATAAGTGGACTGCAGGCTCCCCCCCAAGGATTCAGGGCTGTGAGAATTCTGCTGGGGCTGGAGGCCTGGTCATCCCTTCCCACTGCTGGTAGGGCCAAGAGCTCAGGTGTGTGCGCATGTACAGCAGCACACACAACCTGAGTGTGTGTGTGCGGGAGAGGAGCTTCTGGTCCTGGAACCACGGTTCTGCCAGCTTAGTCCTTTGAAATGCTCTGGGTACTGACCGTCTCACCGTCTTGTCCAGCTTCTCCTTTTGGACCCTAAGGGCACATAGAGGAAAGCGATGAGGGGATGCAGGGACCTTACAGTTAGTTGAGCCCACAGCTCTTGCTGGACCCTGGGCTGGGCTCCAAGCATGTTTGCTCATTTCAGCCTCATCAAACCCTGATAAGTAGGTGTTACTGTCCTCACTTCACAGGTGAGAAAGTTTAGGCTCAGGGAGTTATGTGCCTAATGGGACAAAGAATGTATGAGCCAATTGAGTAGCTGCCCCGAGAGGGGACAAGGCCTGGTGACAGTTTGGTGGAGAGGCTGGCTTCACATCAGAGTGGAAGGACAAGTTGGAGTCCCTGGGTTAGAAAAAGGGTAGTAAATAAGGTCTGGCCTCCGGGGTTTGGTGAGGATCATGGGAAGATGACCGAGGCTAACTAGTTAGTACTGGGGAGGGGGGAGAAAGGGAAAGAAAGAAATAGGGGTTGGCAAAGATCTGCAGAGGAAAAGCTTACATATGGGTGTCAGGGTCAGGACTGAGATTGCAACTAAGATCAAAGTTAGGGTCTATGAGACTATTTGGAGTTATAGTGTAGGGGTGAGAGTTGGATTTGAAATCAGGGTCAGAGTACATAAGGGTGAGAGTCAGGGTCTGGATGATAGTCTGATTAGGATGTGGATCAGAATCTGGGAATAAGTTTGGGGTCAAGGTCCTAATTGGGGGCTAGAGACTCAGTTAGTTTTGGTTTTAGGGTCTGGTTTGGGGGTGGAGTTAGGCTTGGGTTTGGGTCTGAACTGTGGATAGAGCTGGGGTTCAGCTTGGTTCTGGGAACAGGGATTGGGGTTTTGGTAGGTACAGGACCAGATCCTGGGTGGTCCAGCTCCATGCCCTCTTACCGCTGGGCCTGGTGCTCCCCTGGGACCATCTTTTCCAGTGTCGCCAGGAGGGCCACGAGCCCCAGGGGGTCCAGGGGGCCCTGGAGGCCCAGCAGCTCCATTTTGCCCTTGGTCTCCCTGAAAAAGATGAGGCCTGGCATAATTCTGAGGCTGAGGGGAAGGGGTTCTGGTCTCTAGAGAGAGGCCCCCTTAGATGGACAGTCAAATACTTTCCCCTTTCCCAATCCTCAACAGGCTCAGAGAAAAGGGCTTTGTTATTAGACCTTTTGCGACTTTTTGGTGGCCACACAAAGGGACAGATTCCTAAAATTCAGCATAAGAGGCCAACAGGGAAACAACAAGATGGTGGTGTAAGTAACAGAGGTACCTGCTGCATCCCACAACCACATCAAAATTACAACTAAAATACAGAACAACCACCGTTCAGAACCTCCTGAAACCTAGCTGAACAGAAGTCCTACAACCAGGGAACTGAAGAAGCACATCGAGGCCAAGCTGGCAGGCAGGTGCCATATTTGAACCTCCAGCACCTGACTCACACCTTTTGCTCCATCCTGGTGATTTCCGGAGGCCCCGCCCCTCCCCACCTGCAGCTCATCCAAGCCACTTCCAGTGGCTTTTCTATGCAAGTGGCCTCTCTAGCCTCATGCTTAAGACTTTCCTAAAATCTCTCAAATAAGCAGCAGCTGGCCTCAGCGTGTCCCATACCTCTCGATAAGTGGCACTAGTGGCAGCCTGCATTGGTTCATAGCTTGGCCTCTCCTGGACACCTCCAAGCCCAGCACAAGTAGCAGCCAACTACGGTTTGCTGTGTAGCTCATGCTGGGCGGCCCTGGACAAGGCATAGGCAGAGGCTGACTTTGCGCCTCCTGGAAGGCCCCAGAGACAGTGCAACTGGTGGTCAGCTTCAACCACACTGGATTACAACCCTACCACATCCATGAGTGACACACTCAAGGGGCGGACTTGGTGAACACCAAAGCTCCACTGAAGTAAATCCTGCTCCATAGGGTTGTCTCCAGCATACCAGCTCTAACTGTAGCTGCAGCTGGTCCTCACAGCTGATTGTCCTGGGGGTCAATTTCTCCCAGTGACGCCAACAGCAACCAAGGCTCAACTACAACAGGACAGTGCACATAGCCCACACAGGGGAGCACCTAGGAGGCCCAGCTTAGCTGACTGGGGAGGCTGAGCCACTGGACCCTACAGGACACCTATACACAGCCACACTACCAATTCCAGGAGACAGAGCAGCTCTTCCTGATATATAAAAACAAACAGTAGGAAGCAGCCAAAATGTGAAGGCAAAGAAACATGCCACAAAGGAAAGAACAGAAGAAACCTCCAGGAAAAGATCTAAATGAAATGGAGCCAAGCAAGCTACTAGATACAGAGTTGAAAATAATAGTTATAAGGATGCTCAAGGATCTTAGCAAGACTATTAAGGAAACTAGTGAGATCGTCAATGACATAATAAAGTACCAATCAGAAATAAAGGCTACATGAACTGAAATGAAGAATAATTTACAGGGAATCAGTAAAGTAGAGGACGTTAAGAATCAAATCAGCAATTTGGAATATGAGGAAGCAAAAAACACCCAACCAGAAGAGTAAAAGAAAAAAGAATCCAGAAATATGAAGTGGAGTAAGGAGTCTCTGGGACAACTTCAAGCGGCTCAACATTCACATTATGGGGATGAAGAAAGAGAAGAAAGAGAGCAAGAAATTGAAAACCTATTTGAAAAAATAATGACAGAAAACTTCCCCTACCTGGGGAAAGAAATAGACCTACAAGTCCAGGAAACACAGAGGGTCTCAAACAACAGGAACCCAAAGAGGCCCAGAGCAAGATGCATCATAATTAAAACGTCAAAGGTTAAAGACAAAGAGAGAATCTTAAAAGCAGCAAGAGAAAAGCAGTTAGTTACCTACAAGGGGGCACCCATACGACTATCAGCTGATTTCTCAACAGAAACCTTGCAGGTCAGAAGGGACTGGCAAGAAGTATTCAAAGTGATGAAAAGCAAGAACTTACAAGGAAGATCACTCTACCCAGCAAAGCTATCATTTAGAATTGAAGGTCAGATAAAAAGCTTCACAGATAAGAAAAAGCTAAAGGAATTCATCACCACCAGACCAGTACCACAGGAAAAGTTGAAAGGTTGTCTTTAAGAAGAAGCTAATGAACAAAAGAAACTGACAAACAAAATAGGCCCAGAGACATTGAAGCATGCAACAGACTGTCATATCTCAGAGGGAAGAGGGAAGGGGGGGGGTGAGAAGAGATTAACCAAAGAAGTTATATNGGGTGGGGGGTGGGAAGAGATTAACCAAAGAAGCTTTATGCATATATGCATAACCCATGAACACAGACAATAATGGGGTGAAGGCCTGGGGCGGGGATAGAAGCGAGGTGGAGGGGGTCAATTGGGAGGGAAAATGGGACACCNAGACATTGAAGCATGCAACAGGCGATCATATCTCAGAGGGAAGAGGGAAGGGGGGTGGGGGGTGGGAAGAGATTAACCAAAGAAGCTTTATGCATATATGCATAACCCATGAACACAGACAATAATGGGGTGAAGGCCTGGGGAGGGGGCAGGAGTGGGGTGGAGAGGGCCAATGGGGAAAAAAAAATGGGACACTTGTGATACTTTCAACAATAAAAATATATTAAAGAAAAAAGAGGCCAACAGGACCTTTTACACTCCAAGGAATGTGCCATCTCCTCAACTATGGTGTTTAGGTGAGAGATGACACCTGCTGGGTGTAGGAGAAGGCAGATGTGCTCAACCAATCCCCTCCAGAAAGGTGACTGCACGCCTCCTGAAAGACTTTGGTTGGCCCACTCCTGCTTCATTAAGTGACAGAGATGCACTCTTGGGCATTTGTCCCAGATAAATGAAAACTCATATTCACACAAAAATCTGTACATGAATGTTCATAGCAGTCTCCTTCATAAAAGCCCCAAATTGGAAACAAACCAAATGTCCTCCAATGGTGAATGGTAAACCACCTGGGACACCTCTACGATGGAACATTGTTCAGCAGTAAACAAAGAGGAACAGAGTACTGACACAAAGCCATTTGAATGCATCTCATGGTAATTATGCTGAGGGGAAAAGTGAATCTCAAAAGGTTATATGTGTTCTGATTGCACTGATACAACATTCTTGAAATGGCAAAATTATAGAGAGGGAGCATAGATTAGTTGTTGCCAGGGGTTAGGGATGTGGGCGGGGAGGGAGGTGGCTATAGCTATAAAAGAATAGCATGAGGGATCTTTGTGTGGTGGTTGCATGAATCTACAACAGTGATAAAAATGCGTAAGACTAAACACACAAATGAGGAAAGTGGGTGAAGTCCGAGTAAGGTTGGTGGATTGTAACAATTTCCTGGGTAGGAGATTGTACTATGGTACTGCAAAAGTCACCATTGGGGGAAACTGGATGATGGGTACATGGTATTATTTATTACAATTGCATGTGAATTTACAATTATCTTTAAAAAAAAAATTGGTGACAGAGGGCCACACAGTCTCTCTCATGCAGCACCAAACCCCCAACTCTCAGGCTGATGTTAGTACTGGGTCAGACCTCAGGCAGCCAGAGCCCTCACCTCATGGCCCCGCCTGCAAGGAGGGAAGACCACAGTGCCACTGGCACTTCCTGCTGCCCCAGTGGTGCCCGCCCAGCACTGACACAGGGCACAGGAATGGGGTACGCCCTGCTCACAGTGCCAGCAGTGCCTAACCTTTCTATAACCAGGTCTTTTGTGGAGTGGGCCCTGCTGTGTGCCCAGAGTTGATAAGTAAGGACATCCTGGGGGTTATCTCACCCAATCCCGTGACTATGTGGCCAGGCACTGCTCTTGTCCTATTTTACAGATGCAGTGGCCAATGTCAGAGAGGGTAATCATTTAACCAGGGTTATAGGGCTAAGAAAGGGCATTGGGGCACATGGTCTCATTTAGACACTTTGTTCATCCATGGGCCCCATAATATGAAAGAGTTCACCTCTCCAGCCAGCTGCACCTAAGACCTAGCTCACTGGTTTTCCAAATGAAAACCTTAACTGAAGCTCTCAAAGTCTACCACGTGGATCTCATCAGTCTGACATGCCAGGTCCTGACCAAAAGGACAGAACTCCAGTCCAAAGTAAAAAAAGCTGAGGGTGGCGATGTTAGTGGGGGATTCCTGTTTCATTTTATGCTGTATTAGGAAGAATTTGAAGATGCCCTGTCCCTGGTTGCTCTTTTCACAGCTCAGGGGCCCAGGCTGGGAACCATGGACCTGGACTCAACTTATCTAGGCAGAAAACGGGTTTAAACACTTAAGCAGGTCCTAGAGAGGTTCTTAGGTTCTTCCCCTGAGTTACTTGGGAAATGAGACTGGCCAGCTGTTTCCTCCTCCCACTGGGATCGGCCGGCTGAGGTCTAACCCTGGAAATCTGATGAGTCGAGGGGAACACACAAACCAGCAGCCCAGAAAGGCCACTTGTCCAGTCTACCTTGAGGATGCGGCGATTGTACAAGTGATGGTCTCTACTTATAAAGCCTGGATTGAGCCGTGGGAAAACCATCTACAGCAAATAGGTTGTGTGGTCAGAAAGGCAGGAAGGTGATTTAGAAAACCACAAGGCTATTTCTGGAGGCCAAGCCACTTACCCCAGCCCCAGAAAGGCGGCTTGTGATCGGGAGTGGCAGGCCACGTTCTCCACAGAGGCCACTATGCTCTTTCCCATCCCGCATGTCCTCTGCAGTGTGACCTTGCCACTCCCTCCATCAAGAGCTGGGATCTGTTTCTCCCTCCCTGCCCCCCTGGACTCTGAGTGAGTCCTCTGACAGATGTGACCATTAGAATCAGATTCAGGGAAAGTGATGCTGTGCCTACTCTGCCTAAACCTCCTAACAGGTCTGGCAGTCCCGGCTTCTTGCCTCTCAAAATGTTGTTCTTGGGAGGCCCCTCGAGGAAGCCCAGCTCCCAGCCCACAGCTGCATCAACAGCAGCCATGTGAGGTGCCATCACCTTGGGCTCCCGATCCCACTGCTCTGCCTTCAACAGGGGAGACCCAGCCAAGCCTGGGGGTCATGAGAGATGGTGACATGTGGTTTAAGTCACTCTCAGGGGTGGAGGTTATTGCACAGGGGTTGTTTGCCCATGAAGAGGGGTGGGGTTTGCGGAGGGATCTGCTGCTCCCTAACACCAGGGCTGGGGGAATCTAGTCTGCTGAGGGGTGGACATCACTGTTGGGAAGATCAGCTTCCACATCCAACAGAAAGCGAGCAGAAGGATTTTTCTCAGCAGCCAACAAACTCAATACTGAACTCAAAGGCGCCCTTTCTCTGACTGCAGGGACTTCTCACCAGCTTTATTTGGCTTTGCCTCTGGCTTCCTATCAAAGGCTCAGCACAGAGCAGCTGGGTCTCTAGGGAAACTCAGCCCGGCCAGCCCTCTTCCCTGCTCTGGGCTCACAACCACCCTGAGTCATGAGGTTGCAGAGCCGGGACAGGGACCCAGCCCAGCCTGACTGGGACGGCAAAGCCCCAGGCCACACTCTGCACGCAGCCCCCTTTCCCTTTCATTCCCTCATACACAGTGCCCTCCTCTCACTCACCCTCAGCTCCAATCCCACCTCCAGCCTTGGCAGCTGCTCGCTGTGGGTGACAGGCCATTGGCTACAATTTCCACCCTTCAACCTTCTTAAAAACAACTAGGAATGTGCCACTCTCCCGCCTTTCTCTGGGCAGCTGATGTCTCTGCAGTCAGGCCATTGCCAGGCTGTGGCAGAGATGGAGAGGGCCACTTAAGTGACCCTCTGCCATGACCTACTTTTGTGGGGCCCATCCCACCTGGGGTGTCCACTCTGCTTCAGCTTCTGTTGAGGAAACCCGTTTCAGCATGAAGCATTTCTGAGTCCCGGGGCTCGGGGGCACTGAGGGCCAAGGTGGTCTGGCTGAGCTCCCACTTTACTGTTCCCATGTGGGGTGCTGGGTGCCCACTTTTATGACTGCATTGAATCTTCACTACAGCGGCTTGGAATAGGGGAGGTCACCCTCACTCACAGTTGGAGAAACTGAGCCTTAGAAGGGAAAGTGACTCGCTCAAGGTCATTTGGCTGGTAAGTGGCATAGCTGAGCTTGGGCTCAGGGCTTGACCTTACAGCCCTCCCTCTTCCTGGGGTGCCAGCTGTCCTCAGGAAGGTCAGTCTCTGGTCTGGGACCAGTGCCAGCACCACTGTCCTCCCATGCATAGTGATAAATGTGATGGGGACATCTGGCAGAGACTTCCCATCTGTGCTAGACCAAGGTGCTTGGGACTTCCACCCAGTGGCCATTTAAGTGAAACCTCGAAGCAGGATAGACTGCGTGCGGGAGGCAGGGCTGCTCACTCACCTTCTGCTGTCTTAAGCTTAGAGCATGCTTTATTATAATAGCAAACAAATAGTGTAGGGGGTAAGGGGGTCTTAGTTCTTACCCGGGGCCCAAAGTCTCCTGGTGCACCCTAGGAACAAAAACCAGGGAGATATGTCACCAGTGCTTTTATGACTTCACGTATATTGAGCTCTGTGCTCAGAGCTTCACGTCATGGTCTCATCCATTCTACCAAAAATCATAGGCAGGCTCTACTTTTTCTCCATTTCCAATGAGGAAATGAAGGCACAGAGAGGCTAAGTAATCTGCCCAAGGTCACACAGCTAGCAGGTTCCAGGCTTGGAACCGGGAGGTCTGTTATCTATTGCCAGCCCTCGAAGTGGTGGAACAGAGATAAGCCGCCCCCACTGTTATCTCTTGGAATCCCTGAACCTCAGAACAGTCAGGGATGATAATTACTTGATGGTTTTAAGCCTCCTAGTTTGGGGGTGCTATGTTATGCAGTGATAGATGGGTTGTGGCTGGGACATTTAGCACCAAATGCCAGGAAGCCTTTCTGGCAACGGGCTGTGAGGATCCCAGGGGCAGTTCTCTGCCATCTATTTTCCTGGCGGGGTGTCCTCCCCACAAAGAATGCCATCAACAGTCATTGTTCAACTCCCCAGTCTTTCCTGGCACCACCCCCCATTCATAATTAATTATTGGGCAGACTGCTTTGAGTTTTGTTACACAGTGGTGTCTGGTGAACTCAGATTTAACCCTCCAGGCACTTTAAATTGTCAAATGTAAGCCTTGTAACCATAATAGGAGGTAGGCACTACTTGCCCCACTTTATAGATGGGGAAACTGAGACTCCAGGAGGGGATGTGATGTGCCTAAGTTCACTCTGGAACTGGAGTCTGGAAGCAGGTGTCTGGCATCCTTCCTTAGCCTCGTGTGTCTGGACAGCCTCCAGCATCACTTACCTTTTCTCCCTTGGGGCCTGGAAGTCCCTGGGGAAGGAAGGTGGAAAAAGAACAGGAATGAGTGAGGGGGACTAGGCTGGCCCCCTGCCGGCATCCCTAAGGCTTAGCAGGCAGAAGGGCCTGTGAGGCTGAGCAGAGCTGTGGGCGGCCAAGTAGAAAAACACACACGACTGTCAGCACTTAAGGAGGTTGCCAGTGCTGACCCCAAGGAAGCCCCACATCTCAGTCCTCAGCATGAGGGACACAGGGGACTGGGAGGTCACTGACATCCTCTCTGGACAGAGGCACATATGCTAGTCACTCCTCCCAGAGAGCAGAGCCCTCTCTGTTCAGCACCTGTTGTGCCTGGGTGCCGATCAGGAGGCCACTGCTCATGGAGTCTGGGGTATGTGAATGTGGGGTGGCTCTACGCAAGGCCATGGTGGCTGCCGTCACTCTCTGGTTACAGTGGGCTCAGAGTCCCTGGGGTGGGGGCTGGCAGACTGACCTGCTAACTGGCCTTCCACCTCCCCAAAAATTATCCTTTCAGCCAATAATGGATTTGCATGTTCACTCATTCAGCAACTCGTCCCCCAGGTTCTTTCCTCCGTCCTTTAATAACGCACACATGACGAGTCAGCTACTCAATCATTTGTCAGTTTATTCATTTCTTCACTCCCTTGTCTGTTCAACCAGAACTTATACACCCATGAACTCGCCTATTCTTCCATGCATTCAACTATTCGTACAATCATTCATTACCTCCTTTGACTGTCCATCCATCCATCCATCCATCCATCATCCATCCATCCATCCATCCATCCCTCCATCCATCCATCATCCACCCACCCATCCATCCATCCATCATCCATCCATCCCTCCATCCATCCATCCATCCATCCATCCATCCATCCATCCATCCATCATCCATCCATCCATCCATCCATCATCCATCCACCCATCCTTCCATCATCCATCCCTCCCTCCATCCATCCATCATCCATCCATCCATCCATCCACCCATCCATCCATCCATCCATCATCCATCCACCCATCCACCCATCATCCATCCATCATCCATTCATCCATCCATCCATCCATCCATCCATCCATCCATCATCCATCCACCCATCCATCCATCATCCATCCCTCCATCCATCCATCCCTCCACCCAATTACTTATTTATGCTGTCTCCTGTGCATCTTATCCATTCTGCTGAGGACACCCGTGGACCATAGGCTCCTCACTCATGTGTTGAGACTCCTTAGCCTGATGCCCATTATTAAAGTATGGAGATTGCCTGGG